CCCTTTACTGAAGAGCCTTCCTATCTTTGTCACCTGCCCAAGGGTCTATACAAAAGCTGTGCAGATAGCAGCAAGCTGCTGCACACAGCTTCACCACACCTTGGGACAGCAATAGGGAGTAGGATATGAACATCACACAGTGAAAGATTAAGTAGACCTACACTGGCCAACATAGAAAGGCATCCCTAATATCTCTTTTTAATGAAAAGAGTTTCTCAACATGTATGATACGATGAGTATATTTAAAACTTATATGTGCACATCTATGAACACAAAAGAGTCTGGAGGGACCACAGCCAACTTCAAATAGTGGTTACCCTTGGGATAAGACTTGGGAGAACAATTTCCACGGGAGGATTTCTTATTTAACTTACTATGAGATGTCTGCACAACACGTGGACTTTCTTCAATAATTTTGTCAAATTACAGTGTTGCCCTGTCAAGTGAAAAAAAATGGTTTTGGAAGTGCAGGCTACCTAGCTCAGTGATAGAGCACGGGCTGAGCATGTATGAGGTGCCAGGTTCCATCCCCAGCACCAAAAAGGCAGAAAAGAAAAAAGGGCTTTGGAGCTGGGGGAAGTGAATTCAGCCAATGAACTCAAGGGAGGGGGCCCGCTCTGGACATTTCTGCATCCCTGAGAAGTGGCACAATGAGGACAACTGGTCTACAACAAAGTCATTTCTATGTCAAATGTATCAAGACCCTTCAGTGTGGTGATCTGTTCCACCTTTAAACCCTCAAGTGTCAAAAACAAGTGGGTAGCAAGCCCGTGTGTGACGATGAGTTCAGTATGAGAAGTCCCTCACTTGTCCCAGGACCTGCGCATCCTCAGCATTTCATGAATGGACCTCTGCTCCCTCAGCAACTTCCTGAAGCAGCCCCATCCTGCTGGAGGGCTGAGGCTGCCAAAGGGGTGTAGTGAGGCAGTGACGGAGGGCTGAGGCCAGTGATCCCAGCTGGCCACCTCAGAAGCAGGCTGTCCCCGTTAACAGCATGCACGCTTCTCAGAACCAGCAAGGCCGGGGAATTTCCATTCTATCCTGGCAGGCCTTGGGGGCCCAGCGGTCTCTGGCTGGAGGACAGTGATTCTGTAGACAGCCACACCGACACCACCCACAGCTGCTGATTGTTTATTGCACAAGAAACTGGCTATACCAAGGCAAGGGTGGGCATTACAAAACAACCCAGTGACCAACCCCATGCTACCGTGGGGCAGTCTGCACAGACACTTCAGTTATATACACGTTTGCACGCGCACACACACAAACACACACGAACAGCCGTGAGCCTGATGCTCCCAAACCTCCCTGGCAGCTTGCATCCCTACCCACCCAACGGAGCAGCCTTCGTGGTGACATGCGCTGGGAAGTACTGCAAGTGACTGGAAGGGAGGAAAAGGGCTGAGCTGCAGCGAGCTGAGTCACTCAAATCAGCACGTGCAACATGGTGGACACAGGCTGCACCTCCACGGGCTGGGGAAGAATGAGATGTGGGAAGGAGAGGATGTCCTCAGAAGGCTCCCACGACCAGTCTGAGAGCCTGCCTGGAGTCTCAGAAAGCAGGTCTGTAGCTGGGGGAATCATCCTAGAACCCTGGGGGCCTGGACTAGGGAGTACACCACCATCCCTCCTGCAGCATCCCGAGGAGCCGAAGCACCTGCAGATTTCAAAAGCAGAATCCCCAAAGCAGAGGCGTCTGGCCTGCCAGCATTAGGAGCTCCTGCTGTGGGTTTCAATGGCATCATTTCCCACCTGCAGATAAAGCCTCACATCTATGCAGAATGAACACACTCAGCTGGCCAGGATGTGCTTCATTCTAAGCAGGGGACTAACAGGCCACCTGGAGCTCCAGGGGCTGTCAGGGAGGGACAGTCCAGACCCATTTACTCCTCACTGGGGGCCAGCTGGGTGACTGTATCCAGCAAAGGGATCTTGTTTCTAATAAAGGTGTGACATTGGGGGTGGAACTCAGGACACCAACCCTTTCCTTCAAGTTCAGGGACTTGGACGCTGTGCAGCGGAGCCACGGAGTCAAGCCCACCTGAGTTCATGGAACTGCTAAGCAGGCTCCTGAGAGGAGCAGCTCTTCTGGAAACTCTTGGACCAAGGGGGACAGGGCCCTCAAAGCCCCAGGACACCTGGGGCACCAGCTCCTTGACAGAAAGTGACAGCAGCATATCAAAAACAAAACAAAAAGCAACCCTACACACAAACGCTTCAAGTTTATGTAAAGGACAAAAAAGTCTGAGGGACTTTGCTGCCTCCCCCTCCCCCCAAGACCCAGGCGGGCAGCTTGTCCAATCCTTGGTTTGCCAGGCAGAGACAACCTGAGCTGTCGGCACCGAGCCCCTGCGGCTTCTCTGTGGCTGGAACCTGCCAGGAAGGGAAGTGAGGTGAAGATGGCCTTGACACAGGCTTTCCCTCAGAACCACGTTTCATACAGATCCCTGGAAAGTTCTATTTAAGACAGAACCTCTTTTGCTGGCAAAGACCCTTGGCTTTCTCAGTGCAGAACAGCCACCCGAGTAGCCAACCTCCTCGCCTAACCAGCCCGTGAGGCCTGGCTTCTGCTGCAGCCCATCAGGGCAGGGTGCATTCCCTCCACACTCAGACACCCAGGATGGTCCTAGGGGAGTGGGAGGGAGTTTTGCAGAGGCCAGTCCTCAGACTTTGCAATGGGTGATGGGGTCAAAGGTGATGAGGGGCTTTATTCCAGACTACCACCAGAGGGTAGGAGGGAGGGGGCTGCAGGGCCTCCTAGGGTCGGGCTCTTCTGCCACCAGCATGACGACAGTGTGGTTCCACGCAGGACCATCATCTACAGGGGCCTCCCAAGGACTGCATGGCCTGTGGCCTCCGGGCAGGGAGGACTCAGGACTACATGTGTGCTGGGGCATGGAGGTGGCCCGTTACTCCTGTCCGAAGCCCTCAGTCTCCTCAATGGCATACAGCAGCTTCTCTTTTAGTTGTTCATAGCTCTTGTAGGGTGGGAGGTCCAGGCGGTTGAAGCTGTTGGGAGGGAGAGCAGCATGTAGCATCATGTAGCCAGGATTCAAACAGCTCTACCCAGGCCTGGATGAGCGCCAGCAGAACCGGTTAGCCAGACCCAGGGCAGGGTGGTAGAAGGCCCACCATGCCAGGCCCCAGTGCTATCTAGGTTCCTAGACCTTCGGGGAGTTAGCAGAGGGAATGGGACAGTGGGAACAACACTAGAAGTGGGCACTTGGGGAAGCAGCTCTTGCCTACTGGAACAAAAGTGTTTCAGTGTGTAGAACTTGGCATTTTATGTCACGGCCCACCTCTCCAACCCAAATCCCTATGGCCATGCCAATGTCAGAGTCGAGGCTCTGGAGCTGCCACACATCTGGGGCTGGAAGGAGCTCATCTGGTCTGTGAGGATCCATCACTTCCACCCAACCAGCATGCTCACCAGGTGTGGCTTCTGGGCAGCCAGGTTTCCTTGCCAACCTTGTCGATGCAGAACTTCTGTGGTCCGTTGCTCCCTGTTATCCAAGACAAGACAACCGTGCATCAACAGAAGTAGCCTTCCCAAAGCAGAGCCCTCCAGCTCCACCCATAGATGCTCAGTCCAGCTCAAGGGGGCCACAGCTCTTCCCTCTCCCAATGACTTGCTTCCAGTGACTATTGTCTCCAGCCAGAGCACCAAGAGGGCAATGGAAAACATACCGATGAGTTCAACAAATCCCCCAACAGGCAGGCGGCAGGTTCCAGTAACAAACTGTAATAGCCGGATTCTTTTTTCATTGTCCATCTCCTTCACCACCTGCAATTTCACAAGCCAAGGCACAGTCAAGAGACCCGCTGGGTCTGTGATTCCCTTAACATGCAATGCTTTACCCAGCCAGGGCCCTCTATGGGGATGAGGACACAAAGCCACCTTGGGCAGGGTGACAGCCACCAACCTGGGAAACCTCAAAGTTGCTTCTCTAAGAGGTTGTGTCCATGAGACACCTTGGCCAGACATCCTCTTCCTATCCAAGTTCCACTTTAAAAAACAGACTAAAGATGGGAGTGACTGCTTAATGGGTATAAGGTTTCTTTTGGGGGAAATAACGTATTCTGGAACTAGACAGTGGTGATAGTTGCACAACACTGTGAAGGTTCTAGAAATCACTGAATTGTTTGTCTTAAAATATTTAAAATGAGCCAAGCATGGTGGCACATGCCTGTAATATCAGTGACTTGGGGAGGCTGAGAAAAGAAGATTCTAAATTCGAGGCCAGCCTTAGCCATTCAGCTAGATTTAGCATCTTGGCTAGACTCTATTTCAAAATTTAAAAAACAAAAAAGAAAGAAACAATTTTAAAAAGGGCTGGAATGTAGCAAATTGGTAAAGAACTCCTGGATTGGATCCCCAGTACCAAAAAATATACATAGGTATTTAAAATGAACCGAATGTTATGTGAATTTCACTTCCGCAAAAAATTTACACACACGTGGGCACTTGCATACAGACACATATACTAAAGATATGTTACATTTCTTTTTTAGGTATGCTATACTTTCATAACAACAATGGAACCCACACATATAAAGAACGGAAGTCATTAAATACAGCATGACAAGCTCATCCCATTTCTCTGGAGCCTAGCACCTGTCTTCCCATCTCATCTGCCATATGACCAATGGCAGCTGTACTTTCTGCATGAAGGTCCCCCCACTCTCCCCCAAAGCACAAGGCTGACCATAGCCAACCTCTTGTCACATGCCCTGGCCCCAGTCCAGCCATGACAGCCTCCATTCGGCTAGAGGCAGTGTACCATCATCCCCTTGCAAGTTGGGGAGGTGAGCAGAGTGCCCAAGATAAAGGGTCCTTAAGCCTGAGGTCTAATCAGGTCCTGTTTCCTCTGGGTGACTGCTAAAACATCCCTCCCTGTCACAACCCTTGTCCCCGGCCCACTGGGGATAGGAGCCAGGACCCACCTGCCAGAACCACTGGATCTGCTTGCTGTTCTTGGTGTAGTGCCGGTAGACGGTGTTCTTCTGCCAGTCGCTTAGGTCTATCTCCTGCATGCCGCACAGCATCAGCTGCAGCCAGGGAGACGTCAGTGGCCCCAGTGCCAGCCGCTACCCACCGGCAAGGCCTGGGGCCCATACACCATGTCACTCCTCACTCGCAGGTGAGAGTCCCCAGCCTATTCAACCAGCTACTTTTGCAGGTTCTTTCAATGCCATGGGTAACACCAGCCCCAGTGTCAGGGGCGGGGGCAGAGAACCCCAATAAAACCCATCTTCCCTGCTGCCTCCTTCCTGCTGAAGAGTGCTGGTGAGTTTCTGTGGGTACACAGGGAGCACCTCAAGGAGCAGGAGCTACGGGTCCTAACGACCTTCAACACTCACCTCCAGCTCTTTCTCATCAAAGTAGCGCAACCACTCCAGGGGGGCCACCTCATTGAAGCCATCCAGGAAGGCTTTGGTCTGCTCTTCCACGCCCCGCGTGAAACGCCAGTCAGTCAGCAGCCTAAAGCCAAAGACCAGTCACTGGTGGAGCCCAGGACCCCATGCGCTCCCAGCCTGCCCATGTGGCCATACGACACAGCATCAACAAAGGCTCTGAGAGTCAAACACCAGAACCAGTGTACTGAAGGCCTGAGTGCAGCCTCACAAACCTCAAGGTGACCCTGAGGGTCCCCCCTCCCACTGCCACTCGCTGAACCTCAAGTGTATGGAAATGGGGAGATTAAAGGACTAGATCAAGAGGACTGAGGGTCGTACACAGGAGGTTTGCACACTAGCACTGAGACCATGGATTTAAGAACACAGGACACAGCCATCTTCCTGATCAGGGGAGAGATGACAATGTCTGAGCTAAGCATCATCCAAGAAATTCCCTGCAGTCGGGAAGTCCCCCGCATGTCTAGCAGAGCAACCAGCAGCAGGTAACCAAGTGTCTGGGGCTCCAGCAACCCTCGTGGCATCATCACCTGACCAGCCACAGGCCACCCACCAAGGCAGATGTGACTGGGAGGTTCCTGTAACTTGGGGTGTCCAAGAGCCCAGAAGGGCTCCACTTCAACCAGTGGAGGCCTGGTTGAAGAGGGCACCCAGGAGATGAGAGAACCTGCTGGGTTCAAAGTTCAAACCCCTCCCCATCCCTCCCTGGGGCTGAGGCTTACATGATGTACTCTTCCTTATTCTCCTCTGTGACTCGGATGCTCTCGCCACCTTCCTTCAGTTCGTGGGTTGTCACCTTGCCCAGGATCTCCATGTCCTGGATGAAGAACAGCTCCAGACCACACTCTTCTAGGTTGTTCTCTCTGGAGCACAGTAGGCCAAGGAGGAAGATGTCCATCTTAGCAGGGTCTTCCTGTGTCTAGCCCCACCTCTCACTTTTAGTGCCCATAGGGCACCAAGGTGGCCTAGAATCCTGAACTGTGGCACAGGACCTCTCCTGATGCAAGGAGAGAACTCTAGAACCATCCTACAGGGGATCTAGAAGCTTCTATCTCCACAGGCACTTGGAGAGGCTGGGCAAGTGCTCATGGGCTTCTGCCAGAGGAGCTCAAGGTTGCGGGTACCCACTGCCCAGACAGAGCCCTGCCTCCCTCAGTCCTGGGCAAACAAGGGGCTTACTTGATCCAGACAATGGAGTTGTAGAATTCAGGGTCAATAGACTCCAGATCTTTCAGGGTTGGTCTCTTGTTGAGCATCCGCTTGTAGAAAGGGAGAGTGAAGCCTGTGTCGATGAACTTTCCATGGTACAGGGCCTGAGGAAGGAAGACACATGGCAAAGAGGTTTGGCCTTCTTGGGACAGTGCCCAGGGCAAGCTCGTGGATACTCCATATCGAAGGCCACGCTGCCTCCCCTCCCTGAGAGAACCTGAGCAGCCAGGTGCCTCATAGGCAAAGGGAGGGCCCGGGAAATAAGGACTACTCTGTCCTGATTTGGACCTTGGGATGGATTCTCGTCCCACCCTACAGGCCGCAGGGACAAGTGGAGCCAGCTCATGCCTGCACGGCATGCCAGCCAGGCTGTTCCCGGGCCAGCAGTGGCCTGCCCCATGGTCTCAGGGAAGACTTGTTCAAAACAGCTCCAGGTGGCAGCCCTGACTCACTGGTGCTCAGAACTGGTGGCAGAGGTGGCCAAAAATAATGCAGACGCACGGATGGAGACAGCTGGCGGCCAGCAGTGAGTAATAGTCTAGGGTTTCGCTAGTCTGTCCCATCAGCTTTGGGCCAGGCAGGTCTCTAGACCTGGGAAGAATGTGCCCACTCCCGGAGCTAGCACCTTGGCCAAGAGCTTGCAGAAGAGGGAAGCACCATATTTAGTCACAAACCCTGAGGGCCCTTGGGTCCTCCAGAGAGGGGAGTAGGGCAAGACCTCAGGCAGACAGGGGAATGAGGAAGGAAAGTCGGCTCTGAAGCATCTCAAGCCACCCAGCAGGCAGCAGAGCTGGCTCTGCCAGGATGCTCACTATGGGGAATTGGCATGACCCTCTCTCCACAGTCACACTGAGCCCCTGTTTCTACATAGATACACACAGACCATGAGTCCCGCCTCACGATGGGTGCCACCTAACCTGGCATGACCTGTCTACAGCGGCTCTGTTCTAAGCCCATGCTAATTCCAAATCCCCTTCCAGAATCCCTCAGTGTCTCAGTGGGACACTCCCAAACACTCCCATCCACTGCTCAGGACAGATGGTGGCCCCTCCCAGAGACAGGCAGTAGGAGGTAGTTATGGATTCACTCCACTCAGCCACTGTCCTGCCTCCACCATGGGGACTCACTTAAGGTTAAGTGAAGCCCATGGCCCAGGGACCTTCACAAATCAACACAAGAAATCCTTCAATGACTCCCTGGTACCCCACCCCTGGTGCCACTGACAGTTCCGATTTCTCCAGAACTCTCTCTAGCTCTATGTATTTTCAGGTCAGGAGATTATGAGGAAGAGGGGTGAGGCCCACAGCGGGGGCCCTAACCATGGGACTGCTCCTTGGGCCTGGACTGCCTCGGGTGGCTGGGGGCTGGCCTCCTCAGAGGCTGCCTTCCTGGAGGTCTCAGTGAAGAGCGAACTTCCCTGGCGCCCTGGCATGCTCCACCGGGACGGGGAGGGGAGGAGGAAGGCACTCCTGGGGCTCCCTTACCATGGCGATGAATCTGCCAATGAAGCGGAAGTAGGTGAGGTGGTCGGGGTTGATGGAGGAAGCGGGGTTGATCTGCAGGCAGTAGTTGTTCTTGCCCGCATATTCAAATAAGCAGTACATGGGGTTGAGCACCTCGTGGGACAGAAGGAAAAACCACTCTCTGCGAGGGAAGAGAGAAAACAGGAACAATGGAGCCCTCCATGCACTCGCACAGCAGTTGTGACTCTGCCATGTGTCTCAGGCAGTCTGGAGACCGTGTCCTGAGAAGTGGAGTCCACCGCAGTCAGTGCCCAGACTATGCAACATTATCAGCTGGGCCATGAGCCAGCTTGGTTCAGACCAAGTATGAACCAGGGCAACAGCACTTTCAGATGATGCTCAGGAAAACCTGTGTGCATTCCTGTCAGCTCCAGGTGGTACATTCCAGGACTTTATTCACAACAACCAGACCTTCCAATGGCAAAAAGGCTCCCTGCAGCCCGACATACCATGCTCAATTGTGTTGGCTGTGCACTGCACAAGGGCTCTATGTTAAAGTATCATAGACATGCACATTTATTACAATTTTTCTGCAAAAGTACTGTATGACAGCAACCACCACCGCAGCATAGGTGAACAGTGGTTATATGTCCCCGAGTCCTGAACCACGACAACTCTGTGATTCATGCTACCTCCAGGTCACAGACCTCATTCCCACTTGCTCTTACACTTCGCCGCCCCCTCACCCCGACCCCATCACCACACCCTTTCCCACACTTCTACATGCATTTGAAGCAACACCGTGCGTCAGCATTTATTTGCACCCTATGTACAAGCCTCAAGTTAGAATTCAGAGTCCTTTTGGGCTTGAACTAAGCCGGCTGGGGGACACCCCAGGGGCTGGTCCCTGGCTGCTGGGCTGTGTGTGGCTGGGTCGACGAGGAGTCCGATGCAGAGGGTGCCCCGGTATCCTGTCCGTGGTTCTACCCTGTGGTAGAACAGCATGACGTAACCTACCATAGGGTAAAACCACTGGCAGGACACAGAGAGAGAGAAACACAGGGCGGGAGCCACACCAGAAGCCACCTAGCAGAGCTTGGGACGGAGGTCACCACGGGAAAAGAACAGTCCATCCACAGGGCCAGCGCAGAAGGCAACACCACCAGCAAACAGAGCACCAGAAGTGAGTCAACCCAACACCAAGTGAGAAGACAGCCCACACCGTGAGGGTCAGCGAGCCCGGCGGTCCGTGGCCAAGATGCTCCTCTGTCGAGCCTTGTGCCCTGTTGTCCAAGGCAGCACTTTCCCAGAGAGCCTGTGGACCTTTGCAGGTGGATTGGGGTGAGGGTAAGACAGTGCTCTGGCTTCTTTCTAGGGTTACATTAGCCATTTTAACTTTGTTGACCCCAGACATTTGATGTGCAGCTGAGTACAGATCAAGACCTCTGATCACGACAGCTCTCCCATGCCATGCTCTCAGACACTTGACTTTCCTGCCCTGGGTGCCTCGAGAGGAAGGGAAGTCTAGGGCCAAATTTAAGGGACATCCACACAGCTGCTCAGCCTCTGTCCGTGGACACAGCTGGACTGGTTAGTAGAAACAATGACACGGGGGCTGGTGAAAGAGCCATGTCCTGAGCCCATCCCCAGGAGCCCCAGCCTCTTGGGACCCAGTAACTAAAGGGCTAATGCCTGACCCTGCTCCAGCACCCACTGGGACTGGCCAGAGTGACATATAGGACATCACCCAGTGTCCCCGCTGAAGACGCAGAAGAGCTTTGGGAAGGAATGTAAGGTGGAGGTGGCTTTCTGGCCACAGGGAGGAGGGAGGCAGCGCTCTTCCAGGGCGCCCGAGCTCACCTGGCGATGCCTCCATAGTCCAGGCCCTCCTCACCACGCATTATGATGTAGAGGCGGCGGCGCAGGTCGTAGGGTTTCATGTTCATGATCTGGAGAGAGAATGCGTTTGGCCAGCAAGTAGGGGAGGGGGTGCAGGGGTCGGGGGGAGACAGGGGACACTGAGGCATACTGTCTAACAGACAGGCTTCCCAAGGCTCAGGCCTGGAAACCCCACAATGTGGGCTCAGCAGGTCGTGCGCCAGAGGAGGAGGTAGCAGGAGGGCTAGCTCGTGCCCCAAATCTCAACTCCATGATTATTCTCTAACCTGCTGGAAAGAATCCTCAAAGAGTGTCTGCCTGGAAACACTGATCTTCACATGACTGGGTAGGGCATTTGACTGAAAAGAAAAGGAAAAACTTCAAATCAGAATCCCATGGGGTATCTGCTCACTGTGGTCTCCTGTCTGTATAAATAGGCATCTCCCCAAGGATGGGAACGGGCTTGCTCTCTTAAGACAGAGGCATTCCAAGGCCTGAGCTGGGCCGGGAAATTTGGCTGAGAGACTGCAACAGCCCACCTCAACGGGGCCCCAGAACCAGAACTCACATGACAGAGGAAGCGGAACTGGTGATATTTCCACCGAAAACTTCGGTCGTAGGCACCAGGGGATCCTTGCTTGGTCCTGGGAAGAGCAAAGATGTTCGAGAATCTTTGTAATTTTTTAAAAATATAAGCAACCTGTCTTTGTATGCCCTAGGGAAAGGTGATGCTCTGTGAATTGAAAGATGAGTACAGTAAAGCAAAAGAGAAATGAAGTGTCAGCCATTAAGAGCGCCTAAGAGTCAGAAAGAATATCTAGAAACAATGCCAGACCTCTTGCTTTCAGAGAAATATTACTGGTACTGTTTGTATTGCCCCTTCCTCAATAGGACTGCCCCTTCCTCCCATCCCTTTGAGGTGAGAACAACACCGACCACTAGAGAGCAGTGAGCAGCACAGTGGTCATGGGAACCAGAGCTGGCCTCCCCGAGCCAGCTGAACAGGACAGAGGCCTGTGCTGAAGGACGCTGCTATTGCCTGTGAAAGTTCTTACCCAGACTCAAATCCTGGGCGAGGATCCTTGAAGGTGGTGGTACGAGTATTATGGTCCACAAAGTACCGCACCCCCTCGCTGGTGTACTTCATTTCCCATCCTGGGGGCAGAGCTGGTTCCTGGATCATCCTGGAAGCACAGGAAAAGAGGGTGCAAAGGCTAGCCCTATCTTCTGGGCCTCTGTTTAGGAGGCTGGGGTCCTCCAAGTGCTTCTCTGTTTCAATCAGGCTCTGTACAGCCGTGACAGGGCCCTCAAAGGTAGGTACCTGGCATGACCCAACTTGTGAAGACCTAAGACATAAGCAAAAACACCAGCCTGGGTGGATGGCATTGGTCTGAGTGGACACCAGAAATCCTATGACATCAAGTGCCCAGCCCTGCTTCTTGTGGGAGCTGGGGGTTCCTTCATATCTTTTCAATCAAATTCTCAGCACCCTACTCAATCAGCACTGAGAACTGCAGCACCTGCTGGTGGCCACCCTCCACCCACTGGGAAGGTCTATCTGAGGAGACACTTTCCAGCTCTCATTAGGCTGACACTATATCCTGAGGGCCTCAGGGCACTTGTACATGGCTAAAGTCCCTCAACATCGGCATTGCAGGGTGAATGCAGCCCCAGACCCCCTGGCCAATACTAGAGCTGCACAGAAGCATGGCCTGACCCAGTTCTCACCCCTGGGTCCGAGGGTCCTCCCACTGGGTAGTGCGCGTGTTATGGTTCACGTAGTACACCCGTCCATTGTCCTGTCTCTTCTCTGCCGTGGGAGAAGAAAGGAGAGTGAGCACAATCAGAGTCAAACATCATAAGTCAGTACCTTCCCTCAGCTCCCCTGTCTGGGCGCTGGGTCTCAATCTCTGCCCCAGGAGTCAACCTGCTGGAGAAGTTTAGCTGGCTAAAGCCTGGCTCACTCACACTTGGCTCTGGGGAAAAGGACAAAGAGAATCTCTCCCTGTCGTTGACGGGAGGGATACATACAGTTCCAACCTCTGCAATTGTTTGGCTTGTCGGAGGGAAGGGGTGGTGTGGTGGCACTGAGGGGGGCAGCCTGGCGGAACCAGAGGCATAATTGCATCCAGCTGTGTGCAGTAGGGACACCCTGCCAGCCTCCCCCCAGCCCCAGAGGGTGGGGTAAGCCTCCAGCGCCAAGTGGGTGGGAGAAAACACCGAGGCAAAGCTCCAAACTCCAACGAGGTCACCTTCCTCGGGAAGTTTCTGAGCCTTCCTTTCCTGAGTCTGTCCTAGAAACAAATGATGCTGATGGCTCTCTCTTTTATAAAGACAGAGTGAAATTGAAGAAACGACAATAATCAGTTCCAGAAGCTACAGGGAACCCAAAAACTGAAAAGAAGCAGAACTTCTTCTGAAGCCCCCACCCCAGGACCAGGCTGCACTAGTCCCAGTTTTGGCCCCCAACCCATCTCCGTTCTGCCTTACTGCTATCTAGTACACGACTGGATTTCTATACATACAGACGTTATTTGTCAATCACACCTTAGCAAAGCTGGGAAAATACGGTAGAAAGAACAGGAGGCGGCTGGAACGCTGCAGAGCTCCCCTACCAGACAGCATGGGACCAGTGCAGAAGGCAGGCTTGCCGGAGGTTCCTGAGGGACAAGCCGCTCTCAGTCCAGGAGCTACTGCTTTGAACTAGCTCCTCCATGGCTGCTCTGCAAGGGGCCAAAGCCAAGGCCAACCACCAGGCCAGGGATCTGTCCAGCAGGCTTGAGGCCTGGTTCATCATGGCTGGCACTGCCTCTATGCAGGGACCTCTGGCCACTGAGCAGCTCAACATGTGCAATGAGAGGTGAGCCCTTCGATGAGCACAGCTCCACCTGGATCCAGGATCACATGGCCTCCGGAGCATTTATCACATGCCCAAGGGCAGAACTGCCCAGGTGCAGACATGGATCTAAACCCACGGTGTCCCAACTCCCAGAGGAGCGTGTGGGGACCACCATGGGGTCTTCCCTGGAGTGGCAGAAAGGAACCCAGGATCTGAGGGCAGCAGGAACACCAGCAGGCTGGCCGTCAGTGATGCTCAGTGATGCTCTATTTGACCTGGCTGCTCTCTCTCTCTTCTTCCCCTCCCTAGGGAGGCAGCAACCCCTGCCACAGGCCTGGGGATGCCAATATGGAGCCCAAAGGAAAGTTTCCTGGACTCTGGTCACAATGTTCTTTTTCTCATTTTGAACCATCACGCTTTACGTGGTGTTTTCCGATTGTTTATAAACAGCAGTGTCTAACCAGTACTCTCCTATTCCCATCTCAAATATTTTCCCACTTAGCACCTAGGAGGGCTTACTGGTGACCATCATCTAGCAAAATTGCTACAGAAATAAACTCACTGTCTGGGCTCTACCATCTGCCTCTACGGAGCCAGAAACAAATACGGGACCCTGGCTCCAGGTCACCTACTGCCAAACAGCATGACAGATCCTTCTTCAGGCTGATGTGCTTTCCCTGTCTATGCAAGGACTGAAGAGGCTTTGCCCTCTCACACTAGACTTGCTGCAAATCCCTGAGATAACAATGACCACCCACTGGTCCTGGGAGCCAGGCAGATCATCTGTGAGCACAGGGATTCCCAAACTGGAGATCAAGAAACATATGGAAGCCTCACTAACTGATATCTCCCACTGGAAAGATAGAAGGTCCTCTTGGAGCATGGTGGTAATTGGCTAAGTGATACCTGCGGGTTCAGGGGAGTTGATTCACCTCTTATATTATTACCAGAGAGCAGCTATGTCTGCATCCAGAGGATACAACCCAAAACAGAACTTCTCTAGGCAGGTGCCCATCCTATCATTGTCCTCCTCCCAGAACACGCCTGCCCACCTCTGTGGGAAAGAGCACCCAATGCAGGTTAACATCATCTGTGAACACCACCAACCAGCAACAATTGTCTTCTGCTGGCCTCACCAATAAGTTAAAGATCACACCTTCTGATTCCTGTGAAAACTGCCCTCTTCAGGCTCAGGGGCTCTTGCAGGGTTGAACAAAACCCTGCCCAGTTCAGAGAGCTGCAGAATGCACCAGTCTCACCCTCCTTAATGACCCCTTTTTGCATGGCCACTCCTTCCTAGAATAGCCTTGAAGCCCGTAATCTCTCCTAAAGCATGGATACCTGTCCCTTAACTCATTCTTGGCAAATTGCACCCAGGACTTGGAAGAGGTAAGAGGAGCTAGCAATGACAAGAAAACCCAGCATGGTGTTATTAACTAGCGACACTGTACTTTCAGAACCACTAGCCCGTGCTCAATCTGCTTCCCGCGGCCTCTTTCAGAGCTGTGTCACAAATAAGAAAGTGGCTGCTATTAGTCAAAATTAGGCTGAAGTTTTCCAACATGTCAGAGGCAAAGAAAGGGTCATGAGGGTGGCTCTCCCTCCAGCCAGAGTTACAGACCCAAAACATGGCCATCTGGAAATCAGTGTCAAAATATCTTAGTGACAGGATAGAGTCCTGAGCAGAGATACCTAGAAACTCAGGACCCAAACTCAACAGTCCTATAGCTACTTGGGGATGTCTTTCTTAGGGTCACACTCCTTCACTTGTGGCAGGTGAACGCTACAGAGGCACATGGGAGCTTGGCTTCTCATCCATGCTGCCAGCTCCGTTACTGGTCATGCTCAGGCTGGGCATCCCCAAAGTGTGTGCTGGAGGTAAGTGACACGGGAAACTGAGGGGTGGGAGCAAGGGCAGAAGACACGCAGGAGAAGAGGACAGAGCATCTGGCCCTCATACCAAGGGCTGAGGGCACAGAAGAACTCAGTACTTACCCCAGCCAGGCGGGAGCGGGCCCAGGGGATCATGGTCAACTGAAGGGTTCGAAGACTAAACACAAGAAACACAGCAGAACACAGAGGTTAAAAAAAAGCCACCAGTTAAAAATAAATAAATCTATAAAAATAAAAATGCTAATGACTCACTTCCACATTTCAAGATTTCACAGAGGATGCAGGGAGCCTCAGGTGGCATCTGCTCCTCTTTGTTTAAAAAATAAAAAGAACTCTGCACAGAGAGCCCAAATGAGTTTGGGAAGGGTGAGCGAGGGGGAGGAAGAGGTGTGCAGAGGAAGGCGGGCCAGGGCGGCAGAGGCAGGAACCAGCCGGGCATGGCAGGAGGGCTCCGGGCAGGGCAGCCCGGCTAGCTAGCTCGCCCACGGCCTCTGCTCTGCTCCTGCCCGCGACGGCCAAGGCGACTGAAATCACCACCACCTCCAACTTTCTCCAAGAACCACACACGGGAGGGGAAAAAATATCGCAGGCCTTTCCAATGAAATCATTCCCACAAGCCCTGCCCACGCCCAGAGCTTCCTGGCTGGGGCGGACCCTCCTCCCTCTACCTCAGGTCCAGCCCCCACCGCTCCTGGGTGTGCAGCATCCACCCAGACTGAGGGTACATTCATGCCCCAAGCCCCTCACCTCCCCCAGGAATGTTTTCCTTCCCCTTCACAAAGCACCTTTATTCTTCCCTGCCTGAACCTGAAGTTGCTTAGTGTTCTCTGTCTGCCTGTCTGGGGAGGGGGACGGGGGCAGGGTGACAGGAGAGAGAAGGGGGAGTCTGCTCCAGGACTTCAGGGTTGCTGTTTACATTAGAGCCCCCACCCCCAGCCTAATTCTGCTGGAGGTCTCTGGGGAAGGGCTGCAGAGGATGGAGGTTCTCAGATCCTCCGGGGCAAGAGGGGTGCTGTCAAAAACTTTTCATAGTTAAATAAAACAAGTATTGTTCTGCTTATTCTCCCCCTACCCCGAAGCATTTTTATTTCACTTACTAAAATTTAATCGTTATATTAGGGGATCAAGTTCTAAATGCAGACTTCAGGCTGCCGGGCTGGCCCCATCTGGGGTGATGGAGCCACACACGGGCAGGAGGATGAATGGAGCTCAGTGTTGGCTTGAGCAAACATTGGTAGAGCTCGACTGCCAAAGAACCCCTTTTTGCAGCCCTCCCTCCACCCCAACTGAAAGGACAGAGAAACTTTCTTTCCAAGGTGGCAACACAAGCTCCTCTTCCAAGTAAGTTCCAACAAAGACGTTTAAGTCTTGAAACCATAGGTCCTTCTTGGGACAGGGCCCCCTTTCAGCTCAGGGTCTCCTTCCCACATGGAATGATACTGCACAAGGGCTGGGAAAGCTGGCCTGGATTTAGGGGATTGATTTAGGGGATTTAGGGCAGTTACCACCAGCCTCCAGGATGGGCTTAATTATCTCCATCACAATTCACATTTATCTAACTACTGAAAAGCATCCCCCCAACTCACAGCACTCATTTTGGTGTGTGTTTGGGTGCTGGAGGGGTTGGGAGTGATGGGGCACAGCATCTCATCAAATCCAAGTTCCTTCAACTCTGGGGAGAAATCAGCTACCACCTGGTTCCAACTGAGCTTCAGTGGGCTTACAGTCATTTTTTGCTTAACTCTACAAATCAACAGACCAGAAGGTCTTTGCTGACAGCATTGAATCAGGAATAAAAAGTATTTATCAGTCTTTTTTTTTTTTTTTGTCTTTTTTTGTCCCTGAGCATTGAGCCCAGGGCCTCACACATGCTAAGCGAGTGCTCTACCCCTGAGCCTCTCTATCCCTGCCCTTTAAAAAACAAAAACAACAGCAGAAAACCATTTAACAGTACTAGGGATCAAACTCAGGAGCATTCCACCTCTGAACTCTACCCCCAGCGCTTTTTATTTTGAGACAGGGTCTCACTTAAGATGCCCAGGCCTCAAACTTGCAATCATCCTGCCTCAGCCTTCCAAGTAACTGAGAGGAGAGGCATAGGCCACCACTCCTAGCTTTTTTCTTTTCTTTTTCTTGAGACTTGGTCTTGCAGTGCCCAGGCTAGTCTTGAACTGTTGAGACCAAGTGATCCTCCCACCTCAGCCTCCTGGGCACGTGGGACTATAGGCATGTGCTTATCAGCCTTTCCCTGGATCCTTGTCTTTTTTTCTTTCTTTTTAATATCCTAACACACAACGTTGGTTTTCTTCCATTCAATTGAATTTTCACGGAGTTTCCTTGGTATCCTTCCATTCTCACCGTATCAGAGCCCTGCTAGCTGCCCTCCTCATCTTGAAGGGAAGAGAAGAGCAGACAGATGGGAAAGAGAAAGACCAGATATCGATGAGCACAAACAACATGAAATCAAAATCAATGGAGGCTCATGCTCCTATTTTACTCCTAGGACTTTACTAGCAAAGCACTTGACTATATTGGATATTTCTTCCCTAAGGTACTTAATACAACTTGAAATAAAAGAAAACCTGAAGGAAAGAAAGTAATTAGAAGTTGAGGAGAAACAAAAAAATAAAGAAGCCATCATGGCCAGAAAAGTCAAAAACCCCATGCCTCCGATGAGTCAACCATTAGCCCCTTCTCTTCTAAGCATACTTCCCTGAAATAAGGGATCCCAAAGTGTCACATGGTGCAGAGCCGTGAAAACGCACAAATAGAGCAAGGAGGATTACTACCAGAAGAAAGATCCTGGGATGTGCAGGTAATTCCAAGGGATAGGTCAGCATCCTTTATGACTGGAACTCAAAAGGAGTATAGCTGAACCATTTTCCCGGGGAATGTTCCCGGGTTGGCAGATCTGGGGTGCAGGCCATGAGCCAAACAGCTCACGTGAATTCAAGTCTCTTGGGAACTAGGCACAAAGTCCCAGTAATATTTTAAGATACAAATTCAGAAATAAAGAATGTCTAGCAAACACAGCCGAGGGCAAGAAAGGTTCTGGGAAGGGCGTAAAGGTTGCAACGAGGAAGGAAGGCATCAGGGTTGTTTCTTTGCAGGATGCACTCAGTGAACTCAGAACAAAACACGGGTTCTGGAGAATTCCGTCTGAGGGGCTCTCTGCAGAATAAGGAGCAAGTTGTCTGTTTCTGAATAGTGCAATTTGATTCCATATGTTAGGAGCCCCAGAACCATCAGTATGAGTCCTGCAGACCCTGGCTGCTTCTTTTAGTCACAAGGTGGGAGATGGACAAAGTTGAAATAAAGATAGAGGTGCCCTGGAAACAGTAGGCTGCACGACGGTTCCTGACACAATGGTACAGCACACAGTCATGTGTGCCAGCATCCTCAATGGACCACAGCAGGAACTCAAACATGGGACCAAAGGAGAGTGCAAGGGTGAAACAAAAGTACAGGTACATTAGGAGTCAGGGAAGAAAAATCTGCCAGAAATATGGAGAACAATAACTTAGAGAACATGAAAAAGGTGTGCATGGAGGCAGACAGCAGGAAGGAACGACAGGAGACTGCAATCTGGGATTCCCTTGACTCCCATTTTGAACTGTATTTCATGTTCTCTGCAGTGCAGCAAAGAACGAGGTCTCAGTTTAAGCCCAGCAAGAGGAGGAGGAGGGGAAACCGCCAGTACAGTATCAGCTCTTAAGTCTTCCGAGTCAAACCCTGGGCCAAGGCCAAACCCCAAAATAACTGTATGAAAGCAACCCTTCTTGCTTGTAACCAGGACATGGCACCATAGCAAACAAGAAGGGAAAACCAACTCCAGAGGGGGAGAAAAAGCAACAGAGAGACATTGAGAGCAGATCAAAAACAGGTTCCCACCATATTTTTCAATATAAACCTTGTTTCTCAGAGAAAAGGTAACCCCTAACCCTAGGCAGAACCCTCCTATGTCCCCAGCTGAGCTGAGAAAACCGTTTTAGATTAAGGGGAAAAAAAATTGCATTGAATTTTTACTTCTTAGAAGCCCTCCAAGTCAAACTTCTACCTCTATAAGCCTGAAATTATGTCACTAAAATGAGAGGCAGGCAACAGGAAAGAATGTTCCATAAAGACCAAGGGGCTGTAAGCATCAGAAGCTGTGAATCTTTCCTCTAGGACACCAAATATTTCAGTCAACCTATGGAACCTATTTGGTATATGGTATCCATTAAAGGAATTTTTTTTTTCTTAATTAAAGAAGTTGGACAATCAGGGAGAGAAAACCATGTGAAACCCCAAGATGTATCCTTGTCAAAGGACAGACAGATCAAAGAAGAAAGATGCTCTAGATCTTTCCAGTTTTGCAGCCAGGACCACCCAAGAAAATGGCAGGCAAAGCTTTTGGGAACAGGCTCAAGAGGAACAATCTCTGAAATGCAGAGAGTGATGAGATCGCATCCAATTTTGAAATAAGCCAGAAGTGGATGCCAGGCATGCTGTGGGGTGGGCAGCATGGCATAAGGACAAAAACAGTGCTGCACTTGGCAAGACCACCAGGGCATCAGCAGCTGTAGGAGGACCCTGGAAGCAACTTCATATGATAAACACCTCACTTTCTGCTCATCAAATTGTGGTCCTTCTCAGTTTCCTCACTTTCTGATGAGCAATCAGGCCCCATAGACAAAAGGGACTAGGTCACCAAGGGAGATGTTCCCATGATTTAAGGTTGATGATGGAGCTCCTGCTTTGGATGATCAGGGGAAGAGCCACAAATGAAGGCAAAAGTGATTTAAAGTTGTTTTTTAAAAAAAGATTGCTATTCAATTAAATAGAATTAAAGATTTTCTGAGCATCTAACTAGGATAGAATTTAACTTAGAAATGGATTATAGGATTAAAATTCATTCCAAATAGAAACAAGGTTATACGTGGTAATTAAAAGTCCTGGTCCAGCTCAAAATGCCATCAGTCTGCAATACACTGACCCTTCCTGTGCTGGTGCCTCCATGAACCTGACCTTGAGCTCTAGGTGCCCTGGAAAACACAATCAGCGCTCCAGTTTGGAAATCCACCTCTCCCTGGCAGAGAGCCTATGTAGCAGGACTCTTTCCAGTTCCAAGTCACTGATGGAGGCTCCAGGAAGTGGGGCTGGGGGCTTCTACAGGGCATAGTGTAGGAGACCAATAGATGATTGGGACCAGCACACCATGAATTCTGGACTAGAAGGTTTAAATGTTATTCTGTGGGTAATGACCACAGAGGGTTTGAGCCAGCACAGTGATGCAATGAGAGTAAGGCTTTTGAAGACTGCTCTGGTGGGAACAGGCAGGACAGACAAGGGGATGCCAGCAGAGGCGACTCTGACAGCTCGGACAGGAGGGAGCAAAGAAAGATTTAGCATCACACAGGAGACTGTTTTTTGTTTGTTTGTTTGTTTGTTTGTTTTGAAGGGGGATATGCCAGCTGATGGATACCGGAGATTGAACTCGGGGGCGCTCGATCACTGAGCCACATTCCCAGTCCTATTTTGTATT